TTCCCTGTGAGGTGACAGAGCACTGAACAGGCTGCCCAGAGAGGGGGTGGAGTCTCCTTCCCTGGAGACTTTCCAAAGCTGCCTGGACTTGTCCCTGTGTGACCTACTCCAGGTGATCCTCCTCTGGCAAGGGGTGGTTGGACTAGATGATTGCTAGAGGTCACTTCCACCCCCTTCCACTTTGTGAATCTGTGAACCCCTACTGCTGTTTGCCTTGCTTTCCACCTACAGTGGTGCCAAGTTTTGACAACATGCATGGGGAGAGACTTTGACGATGTGCACGGGGAGAAATGAACTCCAAGGATCTCCGAGCAAACTGGAGTGGAGCGTGCTCTGTCCTGCTCATGCTTGATGTACCCAGATGGCATAAATGAGAGCTTGGTGATGAGTGTGCTTGAGCTTATCATCTGCAGGGCATGAAAGACCAGTGTAAGCTTGTCTGTGAACGTGCAACTGCATGCAAACAGACTTGAGGCTCATCTGGCCCCGAGACAAGGGCTGGGTCACAGTTTCACTGGCAGTGTGGGCCATGCTTAGATGTTTGTGTGACCACCAGGCCCCAGAGCAAAGAAAATAGCTGAGGACCAGGCTGCAGCAGGGAGACCTACCAAGCACCTGTTAAGACAAAGCTCCTTAAAGCAGGAACCGATAAAACTGCACAGAAGTAAGGAGCTTGGTAACACCTACTAGTACGAATGGAAGACGGGCAGCTGAATGCCACACACTGCACAGCCTTACCTCTCTGTTTCAATAAAAGAGTTGAAATGATCAGCCAAGCTGGAAGTGGCAAGAATTCAGGTGAAACTGGACTCTCTAAGGCAGCCTGCTGAGGCTGGTTACTTGAGCCACCATGTTGGCCCGAGATCCTGTTTTTGTCTTGTAGAATAAGGAAACCCATTATTGTTAACATGTGCTGCAAGACTTCGTTAGCATTGAGGGTTCCCTTAGGAGTGGGCTAAGTGATGTGATCCCATTTTTCCCTATGAATATTTATAAGCAGACCACATTTGAGTCTATTTATTTTCGGGGACTTTTCTTCTTTTTTATGAGGTTTTCATTTTTATGTCTGAGGTTTTTATTTTCTTTTTTTTTAGGGCAAGACTAATTGCGGGGGGGGAAAGGGGTTGATTGGTTGTGCAATAGCAACAGCTGTTGTTTTTTTGTGCCTCATTTGGCACTAGAGTAAAAACAGCAACTTTTTGTTTGTAATAATAACAGATGTGTATAACATTAAATGCAGTCTGTGCTAGAGATGGGAGAACGTGTTCTGAATAAATTTTCAACTCACTTGAAGTTCACGGGTTCAAAATTTACCCACAAAATCAAACTCTGAAAATGTCTTCACATGCCATGAATTTAATTCTATTAACTTTTGCACAGCCTTGGAGCTCAGAAAAAGGCTGTATGCTGTAAAATTCACCAGGCTCTCCTCTAGCTATACAAAACAAGACATGTCCATGACCACTGACCATTACCATAGGCTTGTATTATTAGTGGAGAATGCAGAGGCATAAGAAGAGGAGGCAAGGCAGAATATTATAAGGCTGGGTAATCGGAAAGGCAATGGCAAATGGCAAGAAAGAGGCTGGAGCAGGGCTGGGGCAAGTGAAGAGGAAATTAGGGAAGAAAAGGGCGAAAAGATCTCTGAAAGTCAGTCTTGCCAAGTGCTGAGATTATTCCCTTTCTATAAAGTACTTAAGCATGTGTTTAAGTTGAAGCACACATGGACTCAGCAGGACTGGACACGTGCTTAATAGCTTTGCTGGATGGGGGCCAGCGTGTACCACACCTCGCAGGCTGACACTCCAGGTAATCTACATGGACTCAGTGGCCAGAAAGAAACCACAAGCCACAAGGCTCACTAGAAGCCCAAGGGGGACGAATTTTACTATAAATATGACAGGAGGGATTGATTTGTGAGATGTATTGCTTCCTCTGCACATCAAAAGAAGCTAAGAAAGACACTTCCTGTAATTACCGATACAGGATTAAATGCTCAAAAACAAAAGAATAAAAGAGACAGAAAAATGTGCCTAGCTCTATGAAGAAAACAAAAGAAATGGCAGAAAAAGTCTTCAAAAATACGTCAGCCTGCCACCAACAAATTGAATAATACAAATGGTTGCATGTTACTGAAAATTTCTGCAGAATTACCACTTTGAAACCTTCCCCATCAAGAAATAATTGGCCAAAATCTATGTTAATAAATTAAATAATATTCCATCACCAAAAAACCACACAACATTATGCAAAGAGTATTAAGACTGCATGGTTGTTAAACAGATTGGGTGATAAGTATTGGTATAGAGATGTTGTGGTGGCTGGTCAGCACTTTAAGTTCTTGGATCTTTAAGTTGTTGATAGAACGGTGGGATTTACTGCCTTGTGTGCTCCTTGTGATACTGATCATATATCCTCTGACCAGACTGAAGGTCTTTTTTGGCTAGTCGTTATACTACTGGTTCGGGGAGTAATCATGTATCTGTATGCAGTACTGGCAGCGTTTGCATGTTTCAAGTGTCATCCCCGGGGGATTTGTGAGAGGGGCTTCGTGGTATTTTGCTAGCCAGAGTTAAACCACGACAATGGTAAAGCATTTAAGCCAAGAAAGAATACTTTTAAGTTCCTTGTGAATCTTCAGTCCTTTCACACTCAATTGTGTGTACCATAACACAATTTCAGTGAGACATCTTTATGTGTCCTGATACCCTAAGGGACATTAAGCAGCATTTTATTCGACAGCAGTCTTCCATAGTCAGTAGAGACTGCTTACTGCCAGAAATACTGTGAAAAGAGAAATAGAATTCACACCCCTACAGTTTGCAGACAGCAGCATAACTCTATGCACGATATCCAGACTTTCAGTATCAGAATCACTAATATATGTTTATCTTGAATAATGTGGTGTGTTTAAGGTTTATAGATTTGTGACAGAATATCTCATCAAAGAAAGTGGAGCACAGATGAAAAGTAAAAGATTTAAAATTACTTGGTACCCACTTTGAATAGGAAAATAAATCTCACTTTAGAGTTTACATCCTTTCTTCTACTTGTCCTTCCAATTTAGCTTGGAAGAGCAAAAACGTAATGTGTACCTGTGGAGGAGATAGTGTTTGCGTGCAGCTTGCTGTAGATTCCATTTTAAGGCAGTGGGCAGGCTGACTGGTCAGATACTGGAAGGAATATTGCTGCAGCGCAATAAATCTGGTCTTCCCAGCCCTAAGGAAATGGACCATTTCTGAGGACTCCACTTGGAGGTCTAGGGCAGTTCAGGACTTCACGTTCACCTTGGAGCATATCCCGTAGCAGCACTGAATGGGTTTGTCAGTCAGCTATGCTGCTGCAGGACTGTGGATGGTGAATATTTACCCACTATCATTTTAATTTTAGAAACCACTTTGACTGATCATCTCAACTTTCAAATTTATATATGGGCACGGCTGAAGGGGTGTATTTCACTTAAGAGCTATATTAAGTCATATTAGTTATATGATCTCAAAAGCATCTTAAACGTTTGAAATGCATCAGCACCGGGAAAATAAAAATGAGATGCAGTGTGTGTCAGGTCCTCAGACAAGAAAGAATTTGAAGGGACCTGGCGAGTCCAAGCTCTCACCTCCTGCTTATACTGTGGATAGCCTGAAGGCAGTAAACCCGATTGTCATGATCCCCATCAGGTTCCCAGAAGAACAGCTCCATTTGTTCACATTTCCTAAAATGTATGCGACATCTCGCGTGAGGCCCATTAACAGAAGAACTGCCCTCTGCAATGAGTGCTAGACAGGAAAAGGATGTCCTCTCTTCTAAGGATGCTCTTGCAGCCCACTGTCAGAGCAGAATTGGGAGCACCAAGATAGAGGCTCTCTATTCTAAGGTAGAGGACCTCTATTCTACCACCGCTCCTGGCTGTCAAAAGTTCACACGTATAAAATTTTACAAACGAGAGTTTGTCATTTAAAATGTTATGCCTAGGTGTCTGTGACTCATATTTTCTCCACTGGCTTCCAGGATGGAGAAGGAAACACTGAGAAGGTGTAATGCTGACGACTTGGCTCTCTCTTCTGCAGTTCTGTTCAAAGATGTGCCCCTACATGAGGTGCTATTTAGAGCTCCCTCTTCTGAAAGCTTGGGCCACTGAAACAAAATAATTTGTCAGTGACAGAAATCCAAGAAACAAAGGCTTAATTTAGCTCAAGGTTTCAAGTAATGCTAATTTTTGAAGCAATTAAGTAAAGTTACAATTACACCACTCTTTGGGTACACTCCAGACTTTCAAATAAAAAATACTCAGGCTGCAACCTTAGAGACGGTGGCATGGCCTGATTGAAATCGTTTTCTTTGCTTTGTCTAATGTACATTTTCAAAGTATTAAGCCTCATATGCAGTGAGAAATGCAAGTACAACAATGTCCTGTGGCTTGCCTTAACAATATGCCTGCTCTTGAAATATTAACATTGTCGTCTCACCACTCTATAAAGCTATTAAATATATGTGGAAGAGATGTTCCAGTGCAGATACTTGGGACAGAGAAAGTTAAAGGAGGAGGAGAAAAGGAGCACAGAGCCTTTAGAGCAAGGACGTATTCAGGGTAGCAGTAGCACACTTGGTGAATGCCAGACTAAATTAATATGCCAGAGAATCCCTTCTTTCGAAACTGCATGCCCCACTGCCATGCACACACTTCCAAGAAACACTGAAAAAGATAATGGTGGAGAAAAAAAAAAGAGAAAAGAACTCTGTTCTTTTAAAAAACTCACATGAGGACAGCTGCTGACTGGAATGCACTGTTTCTTGCGACACTCCGTCTTGCCTTTCACACAAGCACAGATGGTGCAGTTCACAGAGGACCACATCTCTCCATCCTGCAAGAGGGAACATGATATAGCATCAGCTGGAGTGGCAACAGGAAGCTATTTCAGCAATGTATCATTGCACAAGAAAGGATGACTTTCCCTGTTGGCATTGTGTCATTGTTTAGTCTAAATTATTTTGAGGTGTCTGTCCATGGCCAGTCAGATTAAAGACAAAGTTCGAATTCAGTGGGGTTTTCTTCCCTTCGGCCCTTTAGGTCAGAAATTCATTTTTTCAAGGCTAACCAAATCACATTTGCATTTTTCATCAGTGTCCCAATTATTTGCATTGTTTTCTCTCCAGTATGTGTCTGAGATGTGATCACACCTACCACAAATTTCCATTTAAACTCACATAATTAGAAAAACCTGATTCATTGGATTGAGTGACGTCTTTAAGTTGTTGCACGTGAAAGTATTTGATTAAGCTGTCAGCATACAGTGAATTTATTCCCAGATGCAGCATCATTTTGACTTAGGGCAGGAATGGTCAAATAATGAATTCTAATTTAGATTACTTACAGCACTTTCACAGATACTTGATCTGCTAAACATCTGAAAATATTTAGAAGACACACAGTGCTGAACTTCTCAAATGCAAAGCAGGTAAGACAGTCTATGTATAGCTCTTAAAGTATTAAGTGCAAAGCAAAATATGGTTCATGGTCTTGCCCTCACTTACTTGGGAAGGATTGCTTGTGGAACTGCCCATGCTCCATTTTACATAGCGTTGCATTTGCCAAGTGTGGTTCCTAAAACATTCTGTCTCACCCACTTACAGTCTTGTGCTGGCCCGCTTAGAGCCAAAATGTGCATGTTTTCTGTTTACAGGGCTGCTGTGAAGGAAGGGTGAAGATAGACCTGACAGGAACAGGCAGTCCAACCAGACAGCTGTGAACAATTACGTGCCCACCTCACCATGACGTTCTGACCAGAGAGAAAAACAGACCAAATCTGAAATGACAAGGAGACTAACTTACTCAGCACAGCATGCTTGGTCAAAAGCTGTCTCTCCCCTGTATTTTGTTTCCAGGCCATGTTACGATTGCCTGGTGTTCCTGATGCAGCATGTGTTCTTGTGGGTACTCTAATGACCGCTCTCCAAGCATCTGCTAAGGTACCAGATTACAGCTGACTGCATGCAGCTACACTGGGGTTTTTTTGTCTCACAGCTGGTTTTACACTCCAGTGCTCGTTTTGCCCATTTTACCTATGTTGGACCATCAACTTCAACAGAGCAACGCTGGATTTACCTTTCTGCACACAAGGCCAGAAATGGGCGTACCGTCTCGTTATTTTTTCTTACTCCATATAATACTTCACAATGTAATAAAATCTTCACAAGAAGCAGAATATTTTAGTTGGGTGCCTAAGAAGCAGGCATTTGTTCCTGAAGCACAATAGCACCAGTGTGAAAGTGCCAATCAGATGGAGTATAGTCTCAGCGTACAGTAGGTTCACATGTAATTTCCAGAATAAACACTTCAGCTATGTACACAAAAGATGGAATAAATGGGAAGCAATTCTGGCTGAGCAAACCAAGTATTCACAAAGGATTTAACACTTGATCTGATTCAAGGGTCTCTTAATTCACAGAAGGCCCATGAGGTGACAGAATCTTTTTCTGACACAGTGTGAAAAAAAAGATGCACCACTTGGAAAAACAAACAGGGTCTCAGCAATAGCAGAAGTGTTCTGCAGGGAATCCCTTGTGATTCGAAAACACTGGGTGAGAGTGCAGTAGGTAATAGTTATTACATGGCTATGCTAATATAAGATGTCAGGGGTGCTGTCCTTGGCAGAGAGGTGAAATACAGTAAATCAAGACGAGTAACTTTGAGCCAAGACGAACTTCACAAAGCTCTTGTTGGGTCAGTTACGGAAGAGACTCTTTTTGATAAAGCCTACAATAACACTCAGAAAATCTTCTCCATGATTATCAGCGCTTGTCTGGGAAAGCAGAGCGTTACTATTTCTTACTAAAAATGCATTACTTGTCCTGAAACGGCAGCTTGAATCTCTGCATATGGAGGGGAAGACAACATGTCACATCAAGGACAAACATCTTTAACTGCTGTGGAGCAGAAGAATTTACAAAAACTCAGAAAAAAAAAAAAAGGCAGATGGCAAATTTTGCAAAGCTTTGCCTCTGAGTTGGTCTGTCATCAACCAGGATGGTGAGGATTCTGCTAAAAAACAAGCGACAATACAATTTACAGAAAACACATGCTGTTTCAGCTGTTACAATGCCATCTATTCTTGAACCACACCTGAAATTTTACCTGGAAGATCTTATTGCTAAATTTGCACACTTTCACTTCCTCAGGAGAGATATATGAGACACACTCCTTGCAGCAGTGGTCTTTGTTTTTATTGCATTCACCAGGAAGTAAGCACCTCTTCTTACATATCACTGTTGAATCCTAGGTAAAAGGGCAAAAGGAAATAATGAAATAATCACCACAATTTTTGTGCTCCTATGTGTCCTCACCATATAATTTCTGCTTGCTCAGTCATTGCATCCACCCAAGCTACAGCCCAACTGTTTTGAACAGGTCAGCTCTGAGAAAATAAGAATTATTTAATGGATTAGGGGATTCTTTCATAGTCTGTGAAGCTAAAGCCCAGTTTGTACTTCTGCTGGCCTGCAAAATCTTCCTGATTTGGCGACACTTTCATCTTTTTGCCTAAGCAAAAGCACAAGTGTTGACAGTCATGTTAGAGGAACTAAAAAAAGTCATTGCCCTTCAGCAGAGATGTGGTAATTCACCATTTAAAAACTCCTCTTCCCCTGTAATGTAAATTTAAACAGTAATAATCTGAGTAACTTCATTTTGCAACACAGAGTCAGGCATCATGTCTCAGCTAAGGCAGTTAGTAACTTTCTAAACTTTCCTAGCACAATTGCAAGTTTCTTGGGGACCACACAAGTTGCCAAAGATGAACAATATCAGTCAGGGTTTACAGTGCCATAGTCCTACAAACTTCTGCTAAGCCAGACAACCAGCAGCATACAATACCAAAGCACTGTGGACTTACCTTGCACATACACATTGTGCAGTTGTCATAAATAAATGAGGACCCATTATCGTACACGTTGCTGTGAAAGAGGCAGCTTCCAAATGGGAGGTCAAACACTTTCCTCTGTCCTGAATATAAATAAACAGTAATAGAAACAGAATGTGGTGGGAAAGATGCCATATTGTCAACAAAAATAGTAGGGCTTATTGTCACCAGACCAAATTCATGTACAATGTGTCATTTGCCTTGTGTTTCCATTTTGGTGTGAAAAAAATATGTACGTTTAACAGTTCACTGTTCTCCTAGCACACATTCATCTGTACAAATTCTACTGTGGGAGGGAATATAAATAAGATTTATAGCATATTTATATTGGAAAAATCTTTCTTCTCCTTCTCATCATAAAGTGCACAGTGCAGCTAAAGGAATAAAAAGTAAGCACTGCAAATTCTTAGGGTAGGTACACTTAAACTGGTTTGAACAGTCTTTAACGTAATGCGGTAACTTCTCAAATAAAGCAGCCTTAACTCATTTTAGCATATCTACACTCAGGGGTTCACAGCAGTGACAATGATGCAAAAAACCCATAGGTGTTGTCCGGTCTCATTAAGATAGATTTGTGTACACAAGGTTGCAAGAAATAAAGTAATTTGCATTGTTTACGAGCAGCATGAGAGCAACACAAGATATTTTGTTTCCACGACCCATAAAATATTCGAGTTTTATGAGAGTGAAGCAAGGTTTAGAGCACTATGCAGGAAAGGCAGTATCAATATCAAATCCTTCCTGAAGTCCTGCAGTCCTGCAAGCACTTTCAGATCCAAGTTGCAAAACACTTTGCAGTTCTGCAAGCTTCTCTTATTCCTCAGCTTCTTTACCACTAACTTACTTTAAACAAGTGACCATTACAATACATAAGCTTGAGCTCTTTACAAAACCACTGTACTTATCTTCCTGGTTATGAATACCTTCCCTTGTTTACTTTTGGTGGCAGCCAACTAATAAGTTCTTCTATGAGTGGCTGCCAGTCCCTCAGCTTATCAATTCTGGGGTCTGATGTTAAGTAGGTATGGAATTGCACCATACCATAGCAATTGCAAGGTATGGAATAGCCACCATAAGTACATACAAGAAGTCACAAGTACTATGACAATACTTTAGCTCTCAAACCACCAGGTCCTGGCACACTGTAATTCCTTCCATTTTCAATAATTCTTGATAATTGTAGAACAGCTTCAAAGGAAAAGGTTCCATTTTCCTCTGAGACAGAACCAAACAAAAGGATAAGCATGCAGCAAAAGGCACTGGATTAGCCTTGAGTATTTACAAATCTAATGTTAAAATAACTATTAAACAAAAGTTAAGAAATAATTGCTATTGTTCATTTAGACACAATTTGAACATCTCTCTCACAAATTCGCTACCTTGGACTCATCTGTGCTTGCATAACCAACATTCCTGTTACTGAATGTGTGTCTTTCTGAAAAGGCTTCATTTCTCTTGCATGACTGACATATGAAATCAGTTGAGGATGCTCAAAAGCTCTAAAAGGAACTGCTCTACATCCATGCACCACTTATGGGCAAAGCCTAACCAACATCCCGCCTGTAACAACACTTCTAGTGCTCTATGTAGGGCCAGGACTTCAATCCCATAACTTATGTCAACAAGTGAACAAAAGTCCAGTTCTCTCTCCCACCCTCTTGCCATGCCTTGCAAACCACCCAGAGCAATTCTGGGTGGCCAATCCAGTTCAAATAGTTGGTTAAAAACCACTGACAAAGCAGCTACCACTTTGAAAGATGTGGTGGTGAAGATATTGGCTTAATGGTTGCCTTTGCTGGCTCATAACCACTAGTTAAACTAATAATTCAAGTCCCAGCAGAGCCTATGGCATTCTTCTAAGCTATATAAACTGAGTATCAGGAATTCAATTGCAGGGAGGTCCTCCACATGATACTTTAAAAACTATGCCTCAGCATCCCTGAAAACATTTCTCTTTGCCAACTGCCATGCAGTGTGCTATACATCTCTACCTCCACTGCAAAATTTTCAACCCTTCCCTATGAATAGGCATTAATTATTCACAGGTATATAACATGCTTTAGAGCGAAGAACACATAAAATGAAATTCATTATTATTAGTAAACTCATTTACAGATGTTTCTAAGAGAGAAAAAAGAATCGGGAGAAAAATCCCCATGAAGCAATCAAAAATTAAAGCTGGGTTTTGAATGCCTAGATCAAGGAGGGGAAGGTTCAGTTGGGAAAAGTATGGGGTGGAGAGGACAAGGGGAGTTTACAGAAGGGAAGGAAAAATGTCCTCAGCCAAAATAGAAGCTCAGCGTTTGGACTGCTCTCTCTGTTTCACTCCTCTACTGTATTGCTCTCTCGTGCTGCAGTTAAATGTTCTGGGCAGATATTTACCTGTAGCACTTCTCAATTAGCACATGAATAAATAAATAAATCCAGGTTTGTTTCAAGCAGTTGAACATGTTAAGTATTATGAGAAGCTGGAACTCTCTATGGCTTGCTGTCTCCAAAGCCAGACCTCTCTGTACCCCTAGCCTGACCCTGGAAACAGACTTTTGATAGTAGCAAAGATACAGTCAAAATGACAAAAACGTTTCTGTGGAATAACTGGGAGTTACCAGGTCTGAAAATTTTCCAAACCCGGTTATAACCTCAAGACTAAATTAAAGCTAATTTACTTGGTGGGATGTAACTGCTCCTTGTTTATGAAATAGAGGGAACTTTAACCTGTGGTATCTGTGGACACAGTAAGAGCAAAATAAGGACCCTCAAAAGTCACTGCCTTCCCTGGCATAATTAGCCAGGGAATTACCCAGTTGGAATAATTAGCCCTTCTGAGAGGTCTCTGACTTACTCCTTTAAAATGTGTTGGAAAGATATAATTGAAAAATATTCCTGGCTGAAACTGTGATTCCACCTTAAGAAGGCAACCATGAGGCAGACTCCTGGGTCCCTCGACTCTCTGACAACAGCTTCTAAAAATGCAAAGTCAGTCCAGAAGTTTCCTCTGACCTGCATTTCCTCGAAACCAAGAATGCAAATGGGAACTTGAATAAAAGTATGGGAGGGTGAGGCCTTTATCATGTGGGAAATTCCAAAGAAACATTTCCTCCCACCTCAACCTCCTTTTTAAAACATGAGCAATGAAGATGGGAAGCATCTCTACATTTGTTTCTTTAAGCAAGCCAACTGGTCTATATTCAAATGCTCTCCTGTGGCTTAGGACCACCCATTACAATCCTACACACTGACCCTAAGTACCTGTTTAAACCTATAAATTATAAACTCCACTAAGCAATACTGTCTCTGTCACCTCCCATCAGTCACCTATATTGTGAAATATCTGTATAAAAGATGCTGCACAGAAACATATATCAATTAAAAAAATCACAGGAAAAAAAACCCACTCACCTAAGCATTTGGGGTGGAATGTGACTAAGGTGCTGGGGACATGAGAGAATGGGGCAGACTTCTTGGATGCACTGGGTCCTGCCACCCTGAAAGAAAATACGCAACGTTAGGGAAAAAGAAAAAAAAAGGCAAAATGTCAAGTAGACATGCACACACCCACACAGGCTGGTAACAAATCTTGAAAATCCCTAGCCAGAGCAGTATGCACCAAGAGAAATTTCTGCTTGCATCAGGCATACAAGGAGCATGTAAAACTGTCCTTCAACACGTTCTATATTGCTTGCAGAGACCTTGGATTATTCGAATTTTTTCATTCTCTCAAGCAATGAATACAATAGTTGAAGAAACAGTGTCTTTCTATCTTCTTTATTGATGTAGATATGAGAAAACCAGGGAGAATAAAATCATTATCCATTAACCTTTCCGGATGCTCTAAAAGTTATTGAGCAATTATTTACATTATTCTTCACCTCCTGTGCCGTGCCCTTCTAGGCTTGTCTGGGACAGGGATTAAGTGCTGAAGCAAGATGAGAGCAGGTGTTCTTCCACTATGTCCATGACCTCAGAAACCAAATAAGCCAAAAATCACTTAAGAAAGCACATTCTTGTCAGCCTCCGAGTTCAACTATGCAAACTCGGAAGGTCTGCTTTCTTCAGAGGACTGAAAACCAAGAGGGTTTATGAAATTCTGAGAATGAATGTGGCGCAAAAAAAAAAAGAAAAGAAAAAGCAACTTGGACTTGATATATTCTGGTGTATCAATGAATATCAGAAACAGAGAGAGGCAAAAAGCACAGGAAAGACGAAAGCACAGAATATATGTCTAAGATCAAGTCAATCAAAAGGGATCTTTGTTCTCATTATGCTCTGTGGCCTGATTACTTCTCCGTGCTCATAGAATACTGTGTTTAGCTCTGGACCATCTACCAACATGTGCTCCATAGGCTCATGAGACATCCAGGTTGTTAAACTTCAAAAATCCGTCCACTTTTGTCTTAGCAAGAGAAGTCAGCCCCTTTCATCTAACTGCCCTGCCTTATTTATCACTCAGAGCTGCAGTCTCATGCTGACAATAAGCTTTGTGTTCCTGGATGCTGTGATGAAAGACTTATGGACAGTCTCCTCCCACCTACATGCTGGATGCTTCGCGGGGCTCCCTGGGGAAAGACGGAAAAAGCTGTTCATTTTGAAGAGCTCTGCGCCTGAAAAGATGGTATGCCATTCCACTCCTAATGGTCTCAGTGAATCATGTAAAAGCTTTTACATACAGGCAGACCCACATATACACTATTATACAGAAAATAACATACCGACTGTACCCCTGTTCTATAATAAGTTTTCAGGCACTGAAGTCTACCTGCCCCATGGGGCTAACAAAGCATCCTGAATGCACATGGCTAAGGACTGCTCGTAATTCTTTCACTGCATGCAGGAACACAGAGTTTATTGTAGACTGAAATGACTGCTCTAAATTAAGGGTCAGACCAGAAACTTGACAAAAAGAAATGAATTCTTCATTGATGTTCCTTATGATGCTGAGGGAATAGCTCTGTGTGAAGAGACACAGGTGTAGAATGAAAGAGAAAATACCAAAGGGCTCTCTGAAGCAGTGCCATCATACAGTCCAGAGAAAAAGGCTAAGAGAAGACAAAGTTCAAATTTCAGTGGCAGTTCAGCAAATGGGAAAGTAGGGCATGGAGACCTCAGCCAGCCTGGTGACAGGATCAGGGATACACCCATGGAAGACAAAGAAATGCTCCAACACATGGTGAGCACAGGTCCTTTCTTGCAACCTTGCTTCTGTGTCTAACAGTCACATATCCTGTGCCTCTGGAACTGTCCGGAGTCTTACTTCCCTGACAGACTGAATCAAAGCTCAGGCTTAGCACGTTGTTGAGACATTGTCTTTGCAGCCTGTTGTATAAATATTTTTTGTTAAATGCAAAATGCCATGGATAATATGAAATATTTCTTTATGTGAGCCTTTTGTCTATAGCTTTTGTACTGGCCCCTCCCTAAGTCCAGTTGCATCTCTCTTTACCCCACTACTACTCCTGCTTCCACCTGTAGTGCTGTTTTTTAACACCAATCAATTTCCTAACTTGCTGCTGTCCCAGATAGGTTCTTCCAGACTTGAATATCATGCTAGGGTGGTTCAAAAACAACCTGAAACCAATGTCTGCACCATTTAAAGTAACAATAACTCTACTTGCCCTAAATAGCTTAGAGATATTATAGCTCCTTGGGCACTATAAGGAAATGTCAAACCTACACAATATTTCTATTTTCTTAAAAGCCTCAGTCATTGCAATTTAAACCTCACAAAGCATTCAGAATACCAGTTTTCAAAGTAGGATTAGTTAGTGCTGCCAGTGCTTTAAATTGCATGGAATAGAGCCACATAGAAAAACCAGTGCAACAAAAGTTCAACAAAAAAACCAAGGGAAAAAATAACTCCGGAGAGCAAAAAGATTGGCTCTGGATGGCCTAAGCTAGGGTGGGAACTGCACAGTAAACACCTTGCCTCCTCCAGCTCCCAATTACATCTACAGCTTTTAGCTCACATTTCCCTGTTAAGCATAACATCTCCCAGGCAGCCAGGATATTCCAGGCCCGAAGCAACACCTTCCAGTAAAACCAAACCTGAATTGGAAAGCAGCACAGACCAATAAAATACGAGTGACATCTGCTTCCTGTGAGAAATGCTATTCAAGACCTAGGCAAATAAATCCTTGAGCAACAATTATGTGAAGCCTTAATCAGGGGATGCTGCTGCAGTGCACAGCCCTCTGGACGTAACAGATTCTGTAAGAAATCTGTAGTCTACAATGAAAAGATTCACTGTCTGCCTTGGAGACAAACGAAAACACTCCCGCCGCCACCTCGTATCTGCAAAACAAAGCAAGAGGGTCCCTTGATATTCTTGTCTCAGCAGCTTTCTTAAGAGACAGAAGAGAAGGGAAAAGGAAATAGTACTAAGTCCCCCATGAGAGGTCCATCTTTGAGAAAGACAGACGAGTCTTCCCTAAAAGGAAAGCATGGAGTTAGTCTAGCTACCCGTCTATCCACTCCTGCTAAGCCCCTACCTCGACTACAGTATTTCACTGTTCAATAAGGACGCAAGCAACTTGGCAGAGTTGAGAGATGTACTCAATGCCAGGTTGACTTCGCTGGAGACACTGGATGAAGGATGGAGTGCAGTTTGTGGGCAGGCTACCCACGTGCCTGGTGCACAGCAGGTATGCAGCCTGTGTGCTAGAACAAATGTAGAGAAAAATGTCTGCAGAAAATAGTGCCTGTCCAAAAACTCCCCAAACGTTGGTAGCCTGCTGCAATTAATCTCCAAGAGCCTTGGGCTTCATCTACCATGACGGCAAGAACAGTGACTACCACCAGCAGAGCTGCCCTTGTCATAGGAGATTTTGAGAGCACTCGGGAAATCTCAGGAGAACAGAGGTTTCCATACTACAAATTTATATGCTACTGATAACGAGCATGTCTAAACTTAATAATATTTTATATACACATTATTTAATGTTAAAGGTTAACTTCAGTATTATCCAGAACCATGTTTCCTGTAGGCATCTCATTTTCCATTTCACTTTCAGAGTTTCCCTCTGTGCTTTATTGAAGCTATAAATCATCTAAAAAAGATTCCTCCACAGTCTTGTGCTATGTTCACCTTCTGCTTGAAAGACTCTGCTAATCCTCCAACAGAAGTGAAATTTCCATTTATTTTGCAAAATATTTTGTCTAAGTACTAGTATTAGGATTCAGCCCACAGTGGGTTGTATGCACTTGTTTTTAACTTTCATTCTAGAAAAAGTGTGAAAGGTTTCATTTGCCATTGGTGAGGCTCTTCTTACAGAGGGACAAAAAAAAAAATCAAAATCACATTTCTCTTGACTCCAGGATACGTATTCCAGACATTTAGAGCAACGTCAGACACACCCTGTAGGTTCTGCAGGGGTTGCTGTAAGAACTAAGACAGATGTTCAAGGTTATCTCCAGCTATGAATAAAGATTTTATGCCACCAGCACGAAAAATACCACTGAGAGTTCAACCGGGTCACTACTGAGAAAGTCTGCCCTATGCCAGTGGCAACAGAAGCCAAATAAACACACAACTGTATGACTGTTTGTCTTCAACCACTCTAGCATAGTGCAGGTGACTACAGCCACCATGAACTAAGAGGCATTATCATTTTTGTGACAGCAAGGGCATAAAGGCAATGAATAGAAATCTGCTGATAAAGAGATAGACATAATTTGAGATCCAGATAATGATGAGTAGATCCAGATAATGATGAGTATTACCATTCTGGGAATAAAAAAAAAATGTAAAAATGAAGGCATTAACAGTACTCCTATTTCACTACACCACACTGACTGACGTGTGTAAGCCATCCGACACTAACCGGATAGCATATTGGTTTGCATACACTTGCTGGTCACCAGGAGTCCTGCCTGATGTATTAACTGCTGTGTGATAGTAAAGACTTCCACTACCTCCCAAATCTGTACCAAATATGTAAAACAGGTCAGCAGCACGTACTACGCAAACATCTTCAACCCTGGAACCACATGCTTGTAAACCCATACCTTGAGTTTACAATCACATGTACAGTACAGTCCTTGATGTGTCATGGAAGTAGACTTCAGGCACAAAAGTGAGAGGATACTGTATTTAGAGCGTGGTTTTAATCTGGAAATAAAATAGATGTTCTCTTCCAAATCAGATGAGAGACACTCTGGTTCTTCTAAGAATACTGGTGCAGTATGTGGCAGACAGCCTCTGGGAGTAACTTTAAATTTACACAGTATTTCAGGGTCCCTGAAACAGCAGTGTCATGCACAGTGAGAGTTTACTGTAAAGGTCATGGGAGGGAGAAGATTTTTAGGAAATGCATGAGGTAACAAAAGAGTTCTCAGCATAAAAGCAAATAGCACATCAATCAATTCAGCAAACAGACAGACAGACAGACAAGCCAGAGCTCCCTCACATCCCTGCAGACTGATCTATTGTCTATACTAGGATTTTAAAAATGCCTCTTTAGAAAGCATTGGATAAAATTCAGAACAGAGA